TTTCTGTCAAATAAAAACATTATGGTGTGTCCTCATCCACCTTATTCACTGGATCTGCCACTGTCCAACTTCTGGGTCTTCCCCAAAGTCAAAATGATTCAGGACATCAAGGCAGGCAAGACAGCACAACTAAAGACACTTCCGAAACAGAAGATGCAGAACCGCTTCAGAAAGTGTCAAGAATGAAGGGATAAGTGTATTTGAAGCGAGGAAGAGTATTTTGAGGGGGATTAATGACAATGTTTCTTTTACTGTAATAATTTTTATTTAAAAATTCACATTTTTAGACCACACCTCGTGAATAAGACCAAGTTGATCCCAGGAAGAAAAGCAGAGAAATATAGTCAACTGTCATTACATTACTCCTCACTATTGACAGTAGTTAATGTTCTGTAAACTCCCCACAAACAATGAACTAGTAAATACTGAACCACTTCTAGGGAAAATACAAAGTTGGTTCCAGTCAACACATAATCTAATGTTATGTGTGCTTCTGTTTAAAGATACATAGGGTGCCAAAAAAATGTATACACATTTTAAGAAAGAAAAACCTGTATTAAAATTGAATATATTACATATATGTTACAAATATATTACATATATTTACAATAACAAGATGAAAACAAGTCATGTGTATACATTTTTTTGGCAACCTGCCCCCCCCCCGCCCGGTATATAATTGATTCCTTAATGTTGGAACTCATGGCTAACAGTACTATAACTCATGCCTGAATGAAGCTTATCTAACACAGGTACTATTTCCTTAAAAGCACATCACAGCTGTCCTGCACTCAGGGACACTACACAGTACTTCAGCACTATGCTTGGGGGCCATTTTAAACAGTATAATCAATCACCAACACAAAGCACAAAAGTGTAAAAAACATGGCACTAAATAGACCAAGAAAAGGACACTTTATAGTATGAGAGCTGGAACAAACAAGCAGAGAGTCACCTTGTTCAACGTTAGCTGGGAACATGCATGTTGGGCAACTCAATTTTTTTCCTGCTCTACACATGTCTGCAAAGGACTGTAAAAGCACCACAAGTATTCATTTGGAAATTAGAAATAAATTTGAGCAAGCAGGCAAATTTGTAAATATAGAATCTGTGAATAATGAGTACTAACTATACTTTGAATGATGCAAACTTTAGAAGGAAACAATTGAAGCAGTTACAACATACAAAATAGTAAACTCTGCTTCATTGCTTTATTATCCACATCAACCCCTTACAGTCCACTTTTCCTGCTTATTGCTGCTCTGCTCAATTTTTTCTTTTCTTTAGGTAGACCATGCTTATGTATTTTACTTATTCATTTTGAAACTTTATTCTCTATAAAACTAAATGCATGCCACTATACTGCTTTGGGCTACTCTCCTTAGAAAGAAGTAAAAATTTCTAAATATTAATTGTTTGGTGTATCATTTAATACATTTGGAGGACAAATCAGATGTCTCACTGAATGCAAAAGAGAAGTGTTTGGGGGTATCTGAAGAAATCCTAATGACTCAAACCATATGCTTGAAGAATGTGAACACTGTACCATCCAAGAATTTATCTACATTAAGGAGAGTCAATGACTCACTGGCCCTCAAGTCTGAGGAACAGATATTTTTAAGTCAGCTAGTAAGCAAGCACTGTGAGGCTCAGAGCCTGTTCCACCAAGTATTTGCTCATTTGTTTTTTCAGTGCCCATTCCTTTCTCAGGCAATAAAACTTTTCTCAGGCCTGTCACTCACTGCTTTGATTATATTTGGCTTTTCTTTTGCTTCTCTGTATTTCATCCATGCTCAGATTCTTTAGGGACTAGAACCCTCTAATTTAATATAAATGACAGAATTCTAATGTTTTCATCTTTAGTCAGTCAGTAAACATATATTGAATGAAGACACCACTGCATGAAGACACTCTGCCAGGCCATAGGGATACAAGACAAGCAATAAAGATCCTGCCCTACAGCAGCTTAGGCAGTGGTAACAGAGACTCACTTAGGCAGTGGTAACAGAGACTCACAAATCTGACAACATGGGAGCCTGAGCCCAAGTTCAGACACCTACTAGCCTTGCCTTCAACCTCACTTTTCAGTTTTTCCCTATATTCCCCCAGCCAATCTACCTGACTCCATACATGCCACTGCCAACACAGCCTATACATTTCCACAACCACACCTGCATCCATGGCACTCTACTAGATATCACGTCTCCACTCCCTTTGGTCTCTCCAACTCTGCCACAGACAAATGCTTATCTCTTCCATGAAACATCCCTCAATGCCTTCACTTAAATCCCTCCTTCTGTTTCCTTTCCATTCTACTCTTTCCACTAGAATAAGAGTTCCTGAATAAGAGATCTCCCACTAAAATAAGAGCTTATAAAGAATAAGAACAGGGGGAGTCATATGCCTAATTCATCTCATCCCCTAAGGACATAATACTCCCCACATACCAGGTACTCATTAAATGACTATTTAATGAATATGTAAGTTACCTGAATATTACCACACCTGTCACAAAGTTTTAAATTAGTTCAGATGCTGATGACATCTAAAGTCAATTAGACAGTGAGTATAAGCTTGAGGGGAAATTCTGCATACCTCATTCTTTTACCAGTTTGTTGTGATAAACAATGCCTCTATCACAGCTCTTTACACTGCTAGAAATCGTGTATATTTCTCTCTCCACAGTATTTACTCAGGCGCTTATGGTGATAGCTTCACTGCCTACGCAGCCTTTCACCCTCTACCTTTCTTTTTCTAGCGACAAAACACACCCCCACCACCAGTTTTGGGTACCCAACCTGGCCAAGTAAAGTCATAGGACATCAGCTTGGCCACAATGACTGGTCCAGAGATGCCATGGGATCCAACCTGCATTAGTAAGAGGCCTTCTCCAGTTTTCTAACTGGAGCAACTAGAGAAGATTCTATTCTTCCCAACTTTATCAAGAATGTGACGCCAAAGCAGTCAGGAGCCTTGTCCCATACGATACAGAGAAACTTGAGAAAGTGAGAAGGGGCATGAATCATAGTCCAGCTGCTGTGCGCTGCTTGTCCGCCCATCAATCCTCTGTATCTGTCCAGTTTAAGTTAGGCTTCAATCACCAGCTACTGAACGAGTTGAGCTTCAGCACTTGGCAAATGTTTGTCCCAAAATGAAGTGATTCACTGAGTACTCTAAAGGTGATTTTAGATGATACAGCTAAAGATGGTTTCCATCTTCGATGACCTTGGGTTCTAAAGATATGCATTAGAGTAGAGAAAGAAATTGGCTAATAGGCTCAAAAGTAGATATGAGTGAGGGAATGTTTCTTGGAGAAAGCTGGCTTTGACCTGCACAAAGGAAAAAATGTACTTTGGTGACAGCTACCCATAGGTCCTGGATTTTTCAGGATAGTCCTAGTTCCAGATATCCTGATTTATTATCCTCCAAGAACATGGACACATCAAAAAATTTCACAAGCAGGGTCGGCCGAGTGGCTCACTTGTTTAAGAGTTAGCTTAAGAGCGCGAACTCTGAGCAACATGGCTGCCGGTTTGATTCCCACATGGGCCACTGATGCTGCGCCCAAGATGAGCTGCCAACAGGTGGCAGGATGACTCAGCTGGTGACAGCACGTGCTCCTAACAACAAGACTCCCCTGTTTGATGGTGGCCTATGCCCGCCTGCAACTAAGACTGAACTCGGCACCTTGATCTGAGCTGCCACCCGGATGGCTCAATGGATAGAGCATGCGCTCTTAACAACAAGGGTGCTAGTTCGACTCCCACATGGGATGGTGGCTACGCCCACCCACAACTAAGATTGAACACAGCACCTTGAGCTTAGAGGCCACAAGCTGCCGATGCTTAAGCAGATGGCATCTAAGAGAAAGACATCTCAGAAGATGGAATGGGAGCATGCTACCTAGTACCACACAAACACTCTAAGCATGAAGTACTTTGGGCCTGACCTAGGGTAATAAAAATGAAAAAAAAAAAAAATTCCTGGGTCAAAACTATTGTGGTAGCCAGCCTGCAAGATTGTTCCATATGATCCCACCTCTTGGCATTTACACCCTCTGTACACCCCTCTCACACTGTACCAGGTTAATCTATGTGATGGATAGATTAGGACAGGAGACATGTTATGTCACTTCTGAGATTATGTTATAAAAGACACAAGGGTGGGCGGCCGGGTCAGTTGGTTAGAACATGGGCTCTGAACAACAAGATTGCCAGTTCGACTCCCACATGGGATGGCGGGCTACACCCCCCGCAACTAGATTGAAAATGGCAAATGGACTTGGAGCTGAGCTGCACCCTCCACAACTAGACTGAAGACAACAACTTGACTTGGAGCTGATGGGTCCTGGAAAAACACACTGTTCCTCAATAAAGTTTTTTTTAAAAAGACACCAGGGCCTCTCTTTCTTAGTTGCTCCCTCTCTCTTGCTCTTGAGAAAGCCAGAGCAATGTTGTGAACTGCCCTACGGAAATGGCAAGGAAGTGACACCTGCCAAAAAACACATGGGTGAACCTGGAAGTGAACCCTACCCTCAGTGACCCTTAAATCTGATTGAAACTTGTGGGAGGCTCTGAACTATAACTACCCAGCTGAGCCATTCCCAGATTCTTTTTTTTTTTTTTTTTTTAAGATTTTATTAAGGAGTTGGGGGAGGGGAACAGCGCTGGGGAATCAGGGGAAGGGTAACAGACAAGTTGCTGTCCTTTTGTTCTTCAGTCAAGTTGCGGAGGACATTGCTTCACTGGCCCATGTTGGTATTATCATTGCACTCTTCCCGGGTGAGGCAAATCGGTCGCCGGCCTCTGGATGGCCGCTCATTGCGGCTCTTGACAGCTCACATTGGCTGCCGGCCACACACAGTAGCTTATGGCAGTCCACTGCAGCAGGGGCTGCAGCCTACGCCATCACCGGCGACTCACTGGCAGCCCAGTTCCAAGTCGAGCTGTTGTTCATCATCTTAGCTGTAGAGGGCAGTGTCACTGGCCCTCATGTGGGATCCGAACAGGAGCCCTGCTGCTCAGAGCTGGCATCCCAAACCAGCTCTTAACCAACACTCCACTCGGCCGGCCTCATTCCCAGATTCTTGACCCTCAGAAATTGTATGAGAAAATAACATTTGTTTTAAGCTGCTTCAGTATCCATTATATAGCAATAGATAACTAATACAACTACTGAAAAGAAAAATTGATAACATCTTTAAAACTGATAGAATGAAGAGGGCAGAAGTGAGTAGCAAGTCAAAAACACTAAGATTTCTAAGTCAGAATCTAAAGTACCTGGCATTAGGCTTTTGATTGCCAAGGCATCCATTTCAGAAGACATTCATCTTGAATACACATATGGCTAGTTCCATGACACAGCTACTAGCAAAACAACAAAATAAGGAATCAGGCCACCCCTACCCATGAAAGCCCCTCTTTCAGAAAGCCCTGGGTAACCTAGATAACTGACCGTTTGAGTGAACCCACTTATCCCTTCTGGTGCCCTAATTCCCACTCTTATGCTTTAAATTAGTCAATAAAGAGTGAACCCAGGAAACCCTAGACACCCCACCCTCCAACCCTAATAAAGGCAGATCCCAGGTCTGACTGCCCTTCCCCCCACTACCTCTCGCTCTCCCTTTCCCTGCACCCTGACCTCACAGTGTAGACCTTGGGTGTGCAATGTACCTCCAGGACCAGTGAGTAACAAATCTTTTTCCTCAAAGTTCTCTAATGGTTTTTGCTAAAGCGCATCCTGCAATCGTAAGAATCACAAGGTCTGGTCCAGCCACAACATTGGTTCCAGTGGAGGAAAATGTCTGTGGGAGCTTGCTACAATATGGGCCTAGGCAAGTGCCTTAGGCAGTCCTTGCCAAGAGTGTCACTATCAATAGGCTGAAACCAACAAGACAAGTAGGAACTGTTAGGGTCTAGAGGACTAAGGTTGAGAAAATAACTTCATTATACACTGAATTTAAACTGATCTCTCGGGAAAGGTCAAAGACAGATCTGAAAGTCATCTATATAGCAGTAACAGCTAACATCAGCGTACAAGATTGCCCAGAACAAACTTGTAACGTAAGAAAATGCACAAAGTCAAAAATTAGAACATGTTAGGAAGACAGTAAGAGAAGTAAACGAGCAGTTGCAAGACAGGAAGAGAATACAGTAACATTCAGGGACGCTTAGATAGATAGATAGATAGAGAGAGAGAGAGAGAGAGAGAGAGAGAGAGAGAGAGAAATAAATGCTGGTAGTAAATGTGCCAAATGCTACAGTGATCAAGTAAATAACTTATATTGGATTTAACAATTTCATATATTTCCTTGACGTTTTCTACATTTTAATATTTCTGAAATCAGGATGTCTTACAGTTAATAACTATGTTTGACATAGATTCCGTTTACTCCCTAAAATCCGTTACAAAATTGACAGTGTGTCTGACAATCAATGATATTTCGGAAACAACTAAACATGGTAGTGATAAAGAACTTGAATCAGTAGATATGGACTATTTTTTCAGAAAGTTTTGTAGTAAAAGGAAGACACGTCAAGAAAGTGGGCACTGTTTTTGCTTTTTTAAACTTTGTTTTAATATGATGAGACATGTATATGTGTAAGCAAGAAACTTAGAAATAGCTTTATAAAAGTAAAGGTCACATACCAGGAAAAACAATTCACGGAACAAGAAACCACGCTGGTTCAGTATTTTAAATAGCATTCATGCACTATTTCCTACACAGGTACTCCGTGCCCAGACACTGTGGCAGACGTTGGTGTAAAACACTGGCAGCAGTTAGCTTCAGACTCCTCTCCCACTGAAGCAGGAAGAGAAAGATTCAGAAAAAGCTTAGGGTAGAAAGGAAAGTGTGGCAATAGATATCTGGAGGGGAAAACAGCAGCAATGCCATTCCAATATCTACCAAGGTCTCGGTGTATCATACGACAGAGTGAAAAGAGGCAAATGAACTGCCCAACACCAGCGAGAGCAAATACATCTCAAACGCTTGTTCCAGATTCAACTCCAGTCGCTCACTTCCATCACCCGCAGGGCTGCGACCCCACGCCTTTTCCGCGGAAGTGGCTCTGCCCTCCGCACCTCAGGCGAGCTTTTCTCCTAGACCTCCGCATCCAACCCTGCAGGCCCGACTCCCGACCGCCGGGAGGTGAGCCCTGGGCAGGGACCAACCTCAGGAGCCTCACTCCGCAACGCGGGTTCTGTCCACGCTCACAGACGGAACCGGCCGCAGACTCGCCAGGGATCCCTGCCAGCACAGCGCCCACCTCTCGCCCCTACCAATCCAGGGCCAACCACGCGCGCCCAGCGCCCTGGGGGCCAGGCGGACGCGGTAAAAGACCGAGCCCGCCGCGCTGCCCCGTGCAGTATCCGGACACAGAGGTAGACAGCGCGACGTCGGCTCCCGGCCCACAGCATACCTTCTGGCGGCGAGAATTACCGCCGTGGGGCATATCCAGGAGCACCTCTCGCCACAGCGTGGCCTCTCTTCAACAGCACACGCCCTCCTCAAGGGGCCGGAAGGCTGAACGCAGCCAAAAACCGCGGTAGATCGGGTGAGGGGCGGTGCTGCTCCGGACGCACCGCTCTCCTAGCGCTGCGCGTCCTAGCGCGCGCCGCGATTGGAGGGCGCTCAGGAGTGGGGCGGGGCTTCTCCGCCGCGCCTCCTTTTCTGGGCTCAAATGGGCTGCTCTGGCTGGATTGCGAGACTGGTAGGTAAGGTGCTCACCAGTGCTTTGAGATGATAGAGCTGCTGCACTACTCGCCCAGCTTCTTCGCTGGAGCTTACGGAACGCTCTTTAACCAGGCCACACTGTTGGCCTTCGGGCTCCTGGTGGGGGAATTTCTGGGCTGGAGCCTCACGCAGGAGGTCAGCCTCCAAGTGTTTTTCAGATACAGCTCGTGTGTAGTCTGTCTTGTGTAGTCTGTCTTGTCAGGCATCAACTGACCTTAAAAAAATAAAGTGAAAACCCGAAGTAGGCTATGAATTCAATAATCAATACTTAAGGAATGTGTTTAAAAATTTAATTTCCACTGCTGAAAGTCTTCACGAAGGATTTTATTGAGTTAAAAATGGGAGCCAAAGAAGAAGGCTGGTCTTGGGACATGGTTACTAGCAGCATGGCTGGTGTCTACTTAAGAAAAGTCCAAACCTGTAGAGAATTTTTATGAGTGAAACTGACAATTGTCTGGAGGCCAAAGTTCAATGGATTAAGAAGATGCTCCAAAGAATGGCAGTTTTGTAGCTTATTTTATACATTTGAATCGAAGGAAGATATGTAAAGAGGGTTACATGAAATCTACTGATGGGTTAAGAGGTGGGAGAAAGCAAAGGAGGAAAGGGGGGGTGGTATTCTCTGGTATTAAATAAAAAATAAAACGGAAAAAAACATACTTCTTTTATACTGGTGAGTACCTGATAATAATATTTACAGCACATAGAGATGGTATTTGGGGAACACAATAACAATGAAGTGTTCTGTGGTCTCATAGTGCTCTAGAGCAGTGGGTGTGCCCTAAGGGGGTATGGAAAGGGAGATTACTCTGACATTTCAAAGATATGTTATCTTAGATAAAGACAGACAATAGACCCACTTAAGGTACAGATTGACCTTTGTCAAGGAAACTACAGGCTAAAGAAGTAACTTCCCACATGGCCCACTTTATTTAGGAATTTTTATGTTCACGCCATCCTGTGTGGTCATTTTCAGTTTTAACATGTCATCACTTTTCCATCCACAGTTTCCCCTTTTGGTCATAAATTAATCCAAAGGATGCATTGATGATCAAACTTTTCGTTGGATACTGTGGTCCCATGGTGCTAGGAAGGCTCACTCCTAGGAAGTCTTGGTGCCACCATTTCTCTTACTGAATGTTGGAAAATTGGGGTGGGACAAGACCATAACATCACATGGAAGTCAACACCGAATTTTTTTTTTTTAAAGAAATGGCGAGCAAATGAGAGGCAGTCAGATCTATATGTCTTCATTAAATACAGAGTGTGCCCCAAAAAATGTGTACACATTTAAAGAAAGGAAAACTGTATTAAAAGTGTAATACTCAATATATACCAATAACAAAAGATGAATACAAATCACATTTGACTTCTGTAATTACAAGAAGTGCTCAAAGTACATCCAGACACTTCTGATTATTGCAAGCTACTTCTTGAGCAACATTGACAAAAGTGGACACTTGCATACATTTTTTGGGCACCCCCAGTATATTCTAGATCATATCTACTCTTTGACCTATCATGATTTGAGTTTTTCCTGTCTGTCTTAGGTTTTTTCTTTTTTTTTTTTTTTTAGCTGAGCCATCCTGCCACCTGTTGGCAGCTCAGCTTGGGCCAGGATTCGAACTGCTGTTGCTCAGAGCTCAAACTCTTGAGCAAGCTCTTAACCAACTGAGCCACTCGGCTGGCCCTCTTAGGTTTTGTTTTCTGCATGTAGTATAACATTTATAAACTAGGACCAAGAGCAATAGTATTGTGGACGGAAAAGGGACCACCGGTTAAACGTGACAAACTCAGGAGCCTAAAAATAACCACGTAGGATGGCGTGAACATAAAAATTCTTAACTAAGGTGGGCCATGGCAGGGAAGTCACATCTAGCCTGTGGCTTCTTTGACAAAGGTCAATTTTTACCTTAAGTGAGCCAGTCTACTGTCTTTTTGCATATAGGATAATATGCCCTTGGAATGTCAGTAATCCTTTTTTCTGGACCACAGCAGGAAACTACAGAATCCCTCATTATTATTATTATTTCTCAGATTATCATCTCTAGGTGCTGTAAAAAGTGAACTACTAACTATCCTGTACCTACCTATGTGCAAGAAGTACCTGTGTCTCCAATTTACTTTTATCCAATCCCAGAGATTTCCCTGTTTTGCTTTCTCCCACCCCCTTAATCCCCAGTGGATTTCAGGTAACCCTCCTCCTTTGATTCTACATATAAAATAAGCCAAGAACCGCCATTTTGCGGAACATTTTCTCAATCCATTGAGACTTTGCTTCCCAGCACTTGTCAGTTTAGCTGAAATAAACTCTTATGAGCTTTCTCTTAGGCTGTTTTTTTTTTTATCAACAGTATTAAACCAGTAACACTGATTAGGAGGAGAAAATGTCCAATATTAGACAAGTATGAGTCTGAGGGGACCAAATGTCCTAGCCAACAAAAGAATGCTTTGCATGCATTATCATAATTTTTATTAAGCCAATATTATTTTCCTCCCTTGTCTACTGCTATTTGGACCTTATGATAAGTTTGGCCAGATGAATAAAGAGTCTCTATTATTTCATGATCTAGAAGCTCTCATTTTTCTTCTCACCAATTAGTTTTCATAGAAATGACTTTATGGGGAGGATTAAGTTCAATTTCCCAACACATTGGATTTTCCGTATCAATATTATCATAGGTTTCATTAACCTCAGGCAAAGTTAATTTGCCTGCTATTTCCGTATTACACCACATTCCATAGCATTTATTGTAAACCTGGTGTTATTATAATAGAAATCTCTTAGTATGACAAAAGAATATTTTAACCCTTCCTAAAAAAAAATCTCTTTCCCATATACCATATGTTGTTGTTTGTTGGGTGGATATAATAGGCCAGTATTGGGAGAATTCAGAATTCCATATAGCTTGGGGACATACCCATTCACCCTTTTGGATTTAAAATCGCCTATCTATTTTACATAGGAAGCACTCAAGTGTCATTTAGTAATCTGATTGCTGCTAGTGGTATAAGTGGGAACTGTAACTGTAAGGTTAAATAGGGGTCAAGGCTGTAAGAACACAATGGTGTAAATTACAATTACTACCTAAAAATTTCTAGAGGCCAGGAGGAAAATAAGAGTTTCATAAACTTTCTGTGCCTCAGCAGCCATTTTAGAGGGGCATTTTTTTTTTAAATAAAGTTTACTGGGGGTGACAAATGGTTACTAAAGTTACATAAGTTTCAGGTTTACAATTCTGTAATACATCATCTACATAACACACTGTGTGTTCACCACCCAGTGTCAGGTTTTCCATCACCATATATTTGACCCCATTTACCCTCGTCTACCACGCCCCTCTCCCCTTGCCAACTGGAAACCATTAAATTATTGTCTATGCCTATCAGGTTTTGTTTCTTTGTTTGTTTGTCTTCTTTCTTTGTTGCTTTCACTTTTGTATCCCACATATCAGTGAAATCATATAGTTCTCGACTTTTTCTGTCTGACTTATTTTGTTAGCATAATAATCTCAAGATCCATCCATGTTGTCACAATGGCACTATTTCATCCTTTCTTACAGCAGAATTGTATTTCCTTGTTATATATACCACGTCTTCTTTATCCAGTCATCTATTGAAGGACACTTTGGTTGTTTCCATGTTTGACCACAGTAAATAAAACTGCAGTAAACATATGAGCACATTTATCTTTACGGATGAATGTTTTCAGATTTCTTGGGTAGATACCCGGGAAAAAGATTGGTGGGTCATATGGCAATTCTATCCTTAATTTTTGAGAAACTTCCATGCTGCCTTCCACAGCAGCTGCGCCAATCTGCATTCCCACCAGCAGTGTATGAGGGTTTCTTTTTCTCCACAGCCTCTCCACATTATTTGTCTTGTTAATGATAGCCATTCTGACTGGTGTGAGGTAATATCTCATTGTGGTTTTGATTTGCATTTCTCTGATGATTAGTGATAGTGAGCATTTTTTCATATGTCTATTGGTCATCTGTATGTCCACTTTGGAGAATGTCTGTTCAGGTCCTCTGCCCATTTTTAAATTGGATTATTTGTTTTTTTGTTGTTGAGTTGCATGAGTTCCTTATATATTTTGGATATTAGCCCCTTATCAGAGGCATTGTTTGCAAAAATCTTCTTGCATTTGGTTGGTTGCCTCTTTATTTTGTCAATGGTTTCTTTTGCAGTGCAGAAGCTTTTTAGTTTGATATAGTCCCATTCATTGATTTTCGCTTTTACTTCCCATGCCTTTGAGGTCAAATTTATAAAATCCTCTTTGAACCCAAGGTCCATAAGTTTAGTACCTAGGTTTTCTTCGATACAGTTTATTGATTCAGGTCTTATGCTTAGGTCTTTCATCCATTTTGAGTTAATTTTGATATATGGTGACAGATAGCAGTCTAGTTTCATTCTTTTGTATGTGGCTTTCGAATTCTCCCAGCACCATTTATTGAAGAGGCTGTTTTTTCTCCATGGTATGTTTTTGGCTCCTTTGTAAAAAAGTATCTGTCCATATTATGTAGGTTTATTTCTGGGTTTCAATTCTATTCCATTAACCTGTGTGTCTGTTTTTCTGCCAATACAATACTGTTTTGATTATTGTTGCTCTGTAGTACAAGCTGAAGTCAGGGACTGTGATACCTCCAGCTTAGTTCTTTTTTCTTAGGATTGGTTTGGGTTATTCGGGGTTTTTGTGGTTCCATACAAATCTGATGATTTTTTGTTGTATTTCTTTAAAAAATGCCATTGGGATTTTGATGGAGATTTCATTAAATCTGTATATTGTTTTGGGTAACATGGTCATTTTAACTATGTTGATTCTTCCAATCCATGAACA